CAGTTAGAACCCACCGGCTACTCTGCAGGAGAAAGACTTGGCCAATCTGCTCCCATAGGGATTAAACCAAAAAAAAACCATTGCCATTGAGTTGATTCCAACTCACAGCTGCTCTGCAGGACAGAGTGGAACTGCCTGTGGGCTTTCCAAGGCTGAAATCTTTACAGAAGCAGACTGCCTCATCTTTCTCCCAGAGAGTGGCTGGTATGTTCAAACCACCAGTCTTTCCCTTAGCAGCTGAGCACTTAACCGCTGCACCACCTGGGCTCCTTCCCCCATACAGATTATAGCCTGGGACACTCTGGGGGCAGTTCTACTCTGTCACGTGGGGTCACTGTGAGTCCAAATCTACTTGACAGTACTTGACAACAAGGTTGGCACAATACCCAGAACAGTGCTTAGCACAGAACTGAGTGCTGGAAAATGTTACTAACTGAGTGGATGGGATGTCATTTTGTCTGCGCTCCTAATGTGTCAGCTGCCCCCCTCATGGGAGCCTGTGTCTCCCTCCAGGCCCCACGTCCCTCTCTGCCTCACTTTCTGGACCGGGAGTCTCCCCGGGGCAAGGACCAGTTGTGACTCGTGTATATGCTCCCCACACCCAGCCAGTGCCCAGGACCTGGGGAGCTTCAGGAATGTGTGCACCCATCGCCCTCCTGCCAGCACCCTTGGTGCTTCCCCTTGGCTGCCTTGCTACCTTCTGGGCCCCTGAGGCCCCTCCCATTGGGACCCCTGAGTGGATGGTGAATGGGAGGAAGGGGCAGTAAAGTTCTTTTGCCCTGTGTCTGTGTCATCTCCCCGTGACCACCTCTCTCTCTCCCCCGTCTGGGAGCCCTTCAAGGGCAGAACCTCATCACACAGAGGGCCGGGTCCATGAGATGTTTCTGGCTGGGTAGTTTTTGTATTGTGGTGAAAATAGACATAAAAAACCACAGGCCATCTTGATAGGTACTATATGTACAACTCAGTGACACCGGCTGTGTTCAAATTGTGCAGCCGTTCTCACTTCTTTCCCAGATCATTTCACCACTGTTAACATAAGCTCCGTGTCAGAGGGGTTTGGGTTAAATGTCTACAGTGCTCTTTCTTCCCCTAATAAACTACTCTGAGTCCCTGGATGGTGCAGTTAGGTGCTCGACTAGTAACCCAAGGGTTGGTGGTTTGAACCCACCCAGAGATGCGTTGGGAAACAGGCCTGGTGTTCTGCTTCTGAAAGGCTACAGCCTTGAAACCCCGTGGAGCTCAGCTGTGCTCTGCATACGTGGGGTCGCCAGCAGTCAGAGTCACCTAGACAGCAGCTAACAACAACAGCAAACTTCTACCCATCCAACAAGACCCAACCCAAATGTCCCCTCCTCCAGGAAGCCTCCCCTGACTTCTCCAGGCACAGTTGGTCTCTTTCTCCTCTGGGTCCCCATGTCCCTCTGGACTGCCCCTCCTCTTACTCAGATCTGACTGGCTCTATCCAGGTCTGACTTCCCACCAGACCTGGGGCTTCCAGGGGAAGGGGTCTGAGTCTGAGTCCTATCTGGGTCCCCAGCATCTTCTGCAAAAGATCTGGCCCCTAGGAGGTCTCAGGATGCATTTGTTGAATGAATGAATGAATGAATGAATGGTATTCCAGGCACTGGCTCATCCCTATCTGACTCCTGTCTCCCATTTGCTTTCTTTTTATTAGACCATCCTCCTTCAGGATCCTGGAACAAACCCTCAGCCCCCAAAGGCAGCCCGCAGATGACCCGGCAAAGCCCCCAGACCCTGAAGCGGAGCCGGGTGACCACCTCACTCGAGGCCCTGCCCACAGGGACAGTGCTGATGGACAAGAGTGGGCAGCGCTGGAAGCTGGGGTCCCTCCAGAGCAGAGACGACCAGGGCATTCTCTATGAAGGTGCATTTTGTTCCCAGGCGGCTGGGTACTGGACTGGGTCAGGGTGTTCCAGGGCTGGAGCAGGGTGCAGGGATCCCTTTTTTAGAATGGAAATGGCAGCCACATCCCCAGCTGGTGACCTGCCTCCACGCTGTTTTCTCTTAGACCTGAGATTGCAAACCTGCCACCTACAGGGGCCAGGCAAGGAATGGAAATGAGTACAGCAGGCTGGAGTAAGGCAACTGGGAGTAGTGGGGACTGTGGCCAACCTGAGGGCATGTGCCTGGTGTGATGAGGGTACTCTTATTCATCTCCACCTGCTGTTGCCCTGTGGGAATGCAGGCCCAGTGTGGTCACATGATAGGACAGTTAACGATTGTTGTGGCCACCCTGCGGAGACAGGACGGTCCCTTACCCAATTCAGTTCTCAGGCCAGGACTGATGGTATCATGCACACATGCCCCAACAGGATCTGGAAAAGTTTATTACTTATATAACTGAGGTGTCTGAGGAGAGCAGGGCAGGCCTCCCAAGCAGATTTGAAATGGCTTGAGAGAGGGTAGGGAAAGGAGGCTGGTTTGGGGCTGGGGCTGGAACTGGGACTGGATGAGGCTTCCTGTATGTGGACAGGGGCTTGTTTGCCACCTAGTCGATTCTGACTCATAGTAACTCTTTCAGACAGAGTAGAATTGCCTGTAGGGTTGTCTAAGCTGTAGTCTTTATAGGAGAACATCACCAGATCTTTTCTCCCATGGAACGGCTGGTGGGTTTGAACCACTGATCTTTCAGTTAGCAGCTCAGTCCTTAACCACTGTGCTGCCAGGGCTCCTTAAAAAAAAAAACCTCAACTGTCATCAAGTCAATTTTGACTCATAGCGACCTTCACTAAGTTTCCAAGGCTATAAGTCTTTATGTTTATGGAAGCAGACCACCTCATCTTTCTTCCACAGAGTGACTGGTGGGTTTAAATCACCAACCTTTTGGTTAGCAGCCAAATGCCTTAACCACTGTACTACCAGAGCTCCTTGCCAGGGCTCCTGAACAAAGCCTTACATGGTTTGAACCTCCCACCAGCACCAAAAGAGGGAGCACCCAAGCTCTGTTATCAGCTTTCCAGATGTGGGGCAGAAAGGGGAGGGGAAGAGAGGGAGGCTTAAGAGCTGTCAGAAAAACAGACAATCTCTCAGCAGTCAGACATTAGAAATTGGGGCCCAATTCTTTATGACAATAAAGAAAACTATGACTGATAGTGTTAGTATTCATAATGTTGTTGTTGTTGCTATGTGCCCTTGAATCGGTCCCAACTCATAGCGAACCCTCATTAGGTTTCCGAGGTGTTATCTCTACGGAAGTAGATTGCCCAACCTTCCTTCCAAGGAGTGGCTGGTGGGTTTGAACTGCCAGCCTTCTGGTTAGCAGTCAAGTGCCTTAGGCACTATACTACCAGAGATCCTAATTAGGTAAATAGATTATAAGTAAT